TTCGAGCTTATTGCTCGTACTATGTAGCAGCTTTCGTCAAGCGTTCCTCCTGTCTTGACAGTAGGTGCGCAAATCTGACATCTATCTGCAGATGGCTATTTGTTCTCTAAAACATGCTGCATAGTTCTAGACTAGTCTACTACTCTGCCTTATATTGTTTAGTTAGTTAGCTGTAATTTTTTTTTTATCTAAAGTCTTATAAATAGCTAATAAAGCTACCTTAAAATTTTTAACACTACTAAATACTTTTTTTATTTTAAGATTAAGTAGAGTGCTATTAGCTCTAAAGTCTATCTAGTTATTAGTGTAGAGTTAAAACTAGATTATAAGGGGGCTTTCTAAGTGTAATTTTATTTAAAAGATTATTTCTATATTAGTCTAAAATGCTTTTTTATTATATTGCATATAGAGGTGGCATCTAGTAAAGAATAGTTAAAGGTCTTTTAATAAACTTTTAAAAGGCTTTAAAAAGGCTAGTTTTAAAGCCTTTTTAGCTATAACACTTACTTTATTAGTTAAAATATTCTAAACTTTAGCTAGTTTTACTTATAGTTTATGTATCTAATAGGCTTAAGTAGTTGCTTTATAAGAGTTAACTAAAAGTAGAGAATTTTATAAGCTTATAGTTTTTTAGTAAAGGTTAGCTATCTTTTACTTAAGTTTTAATAAGTTACTAACTTTGTTACTAATCTACTAAAGTTTTTTAATATTGTTCTAGATAGAGTTAATCTGTTCTACTAGAATAGCTTTACTTTAGGTAGGAACTTTTATAGATCTTAATAGCACAGTGTAGGCTATGTTAGAATCTAAGTTATGTTAAGAGGTTGCTATACTTTTTAAAAAAAGTAGTGTTTAATGTTATAATTTTTACTTTAGAAAGCACTTAGGTCTTATAATGTTTCTAAAAGAAAGTAGGACAGATAGTAGAGGCTAATCTAGTAGAGTGTACAGTTCTACATATAGGCTATTAGGCTAATAGAGGGAGAGAGAGTGACTAGATTATAGTTTGCCTTATGTGCAGTAGTAAAAAGGCTAGGGTTAAACAGTCCTATTAAACAGAGTTAGAGGTATATATAGTGTAAGATATATAAATAGTATTACAGCTCTTTAGAAAGCTAAATGCTACTTAGTCTATATAAAAAATAAACTAAACATTAAACACACTTTCTAAAAGTTATTTAATATAGAAACTATATACATGTGTTAGGGATGCTAAGGGGAGTTAGTAGAGTTTATAGGAGTCTGCTAAGAAGAGCTTCTTAAGCTCTCTTAAACTCCTAGTAACACGCAGCCTGCCTTCCTATTAGACAGAGCATTCTTCCATGATCTTGGGAAGCCGTGCTGCCTCCGTGTCCTCCGACTGGTCCGTAAGCGAGCCCTGCTCCAATCCAGCTAGATTGTGGAGCACTGCTGGTGGGGTTACGCTGGTCTAACTGTAGATCGTAACAAGCCTGTAGACAGCGCAGCATTAAAAAGATAAGCTTCTTAATTAAAGAATTAGGTATTTTCTGCCACGCCTCCTTTAATGCTGCACAGAACTGATCCTACTCCTCTGCAGAGTTGCCTATTATAGCTATTTTAGGGTGCAGCCTATAGAGTGTCCTTTTTAGCGCCCACTATATATGTTTAATAGGGTTAAGGTCTAGAAAGTAGGGGGGGAAATTAACAACATTAATATAGTGCCTCTGTAACTATTCGCGCGTTGCTCTTGCTGTGTGTATGCGCACATTATCCTGCTAGAATAGATCTCCTCTTTAGTAGTTACGCAGGAGACCTTCCTTAAGCGCTTAGATGTAGCTCTTAGCTAAGTAGCTGTAGCGGGGAGCAGCAGGGTCTCTTTTTATAATTATAAGGGGGCTCTAACGTACCCTCTGTCTGCGATTAATCTAGATAGACGCCTACACCATCTGCGCAGGCTGCTAAGCTGTAGAACGCTCCTCTATTATCTTATGCCTCTACTTCTCTGTAGGATAGTAAAAGCACTACTCCTAGTTAGTACTAGAGCCTTTTTTAATAGAGCACTTATTAGAGAAGCGCATTATCTATCTCTTCTAGTTAAAGCGCTGCTATGCTCTGTCCTACGCGCGCCTTCTGCCTGCTGTGGCGCAGTTAATCTTAGGTCTGCGCTTGTAGTAAAAGTTAGTAAGATTAAACTTCTTAAGCGTATAATAGGCAGTTTTAGTAAATATGTGTGGCGTAAGGCTAGTCTCTTTAAGCAGCGTTTTGTACTCTATTTTTAGATATTTTTAAGCTGTTTAAAATAGCAGGCGCTTAGTACAACACAATAGCTTAGAGGGGCGTCTAGATTAATAGTGTAAAAGATTACAGCTAGTTACTTTCTAGCGCGCAATTGTAGTGTTAATGCAGCGTGTTGTGCAGGAGAATTCCTCTGCTAGTTCTGCAGCAGAAACGCTAGCCTTAGACTTTAAAATAATTAACTCCTGCTGCTGCACTAATAACTTAGCATTCTGGCAACAATTATGTAAAATTTCCTTGCTAAAAGACCTTATGGTGGCTGCGCAATTAATAGTAGAAAGATGGTGTTGTGTTTGTCGCGTTTCTCGGTTACGCGTTGCGGGAACAGACTTTTGTCTTGGCACTGTATATTAGGCTAGTTTATGCTAATATAGCCTATATTATGCTTAGCATGCAAAGAATTAGCTATATTAGCTACAGCTACTAGCTAGGAAGGAAATCCTTGCGCATTTAGCTTAAGTATGTGCTAAATAATTACTTACTTTTTATTATTATCTAGCTTTTATAAGTTAGCTATATAATTAGCTTAAAAAAGTTATTTAGTGTATTAGTTACTTATTATCTTTTAAAAGACTTTATAAATAGCTATAGTGTGTTACTTAAAAAGTGTTACATTTTATTTAAAAGCTTAAAGTGTAAGCTGCATTTAACATTCTTTTAACATGTTTAAGTAGTGTTATTAAAAAATACATTAGTGTAAAAAAAGTAGTATAGTAGAGTCTTAGCAAAAGTAAGCAACTTAGGTGTGTAAGCAACTCGCCTGTAAAGTACGTTATATTAGTTATTTATTATTATTTTTTAAAAAACTTTATATATAGCTATAGTATATTGCTTTAAAAGTATTATATTTTATTTAAAAGCCTAAAGTGTAAGCTATATTATATGTTCTTTTAGCATATCTAAGTAGTGTTGTTAGGAATATATTAGTGTAAAAAAAGTAGTTAGTAGGGTCTTAGTAAAAGTAAGTAACTTAGGTGTATAAGCAACTTGCCTGTAAAGTATGTTATAATAAATAATTACTAAAGTCCTTTAGATAGCTAGTAAGTAAGAATAGGATAGCAGGGGTTGAATCTGCTAACCCCTAGCCTATACTCTGTTTAGGGTAGTTGCATGCATGGTGGTAGGGGCTCTCTCGCCAGGCGGCTGAGCTAGCTGAGATAACCTTAGGACAACTCCTAAATGAAAAATGGTTGTGATAGTTTGTTTAAAAAGTTACAAGTTACGCGATCATTGCCTTACAATGGAATCTACCACTAAATTACAAAAACCTGGTCAATTACGCTGGTTTCAACGACCTTAATGAAGACGTTCAGGTCGACCCCCGCAGAACCAACAGGAGCCGCGGGACGTCAAACAACCTGAACGCCTTGTTGGATCGCTAAGGAGAAACATTCTCTCCTATCAGGTAAACATCACGTTGAAAATGCTCCAATAGCATGCTTTGCGGATGCCGTGGCTCGGAGCCTCGAACGCGTATCGTCTTAAGTAGCGCAGTAAGGCGGAGCATGTTTCCTTGGGGGTTGCGGCGCGCGGCCCTGCTGTCGCTACTGTAAGAAGAGCGACCGACACTAACAACACGCCACCCATCTTTCACCTCTTTAACTATAGAGAAACGTAGAGGATGAAAACGAAGGCGTACGAGCCCAGCAGGAAGTTCATGCAAACGGCGCCCACCTCCTCTTCTTTAGTAACTCGGTTGGGGAAATGATCTAATGCTGTGTCGTAAGCTAACTGCGCCGTAATATGCGCCAGTTGTTATGTTGGGTGTTCCTTTTATGAATGTGGAATTGAGGCATAGTGTTTCACGTCAGGGTATGTGGCATGTTACAGCGAAGTGCAGTAGAACCCTGCGCTGCAGTAGGCGCGTAGGTGGGCGTTTGAAGAAACTGTAGATGTTGCTGGCAGGCGACTACGGTTACTGAGCAGACGTGCCGCACCCTGGGATCCACTAAAGCGGTTCCTTCCAAAGCAGACTAAAGATTTATTTTTGAGGGATGTCTACACTGGATGTTTCTAAGTTTTAAGCTGTACTTGATCAATTGGCGCTTTCTTTATAACATCTGTAGCAGCTAAGCTTTTACTGCCTCAATTAACCCTCTTCGGCCAGCTTCAGCCACTTCGGTGCCAGAAAGGCAAGTTTTCCGGATAGAGTCGTCCGCGCTTGTTGTTGCCGAGTATGTCCAATGGCGAGAAGATAGGCGGTACCATGAGCTCTTCGAGGTGATATAAAGGGAATTATTGCTGGAGATGTGTATGTAGAACACATAACCTTTCAATTGGCTCCTACTACGCTGTTCTTATAACCTGATCTTCTTCATTGCCACCGCCACCCTCACTAGATTCAATATATATAATATCTAAAAGAAACGCTCGACGAGACAGGATCTAAAAAGCAAGACTGTACCAGTAAGTTGACAAGGGAATTTGGAACCGGGTTCTCAATAACAATAGTATAGACATGTCATACTACCTCTCGGTCGTCGTTTACGGTCCTGGTGATGATCCAAACCACCGCTCCCACTGGGCTTTCGCCTTCCATGCGCCCGACTCCTCAGTCGGCAACCTTCTCCATGTCACTCTTCTCGACCTCAACAAACTCGTCTATGCTTTCGACAAGCGCAAAGGCGTCGAGGTTCAGTCTAAATCATCCGAAGGCTACTTTACCATCGCAACCTTATCGCCAGAGCAGTATCAACGTGCGGATCAGATCATCAGTCAGGAGCCCGCTCCGAAGAATGGGAAGGACAGGTGCCAAGATTGGGTGCAGAATTGTATCATTGCACTCGAGGTGGAAGAGATTGTTCCGCCAGGAACGAGCGAGTGGCTTGAAGGGTTGGTGGGACAGCCAGCGGCGACGGTAGCGAGTAAGACCGGGTCCCGTTGGGTGCGTACCATTCGTTAGGGGGGCCTTGAGCATGGTTGTCAAGTACTGGATGGTTTCGAGTAAGTTATTCGACTTAAAAGCCACTGTATAATACAAGCGCTCGATCTAGCTCTTTCAATATATGATACTCCGCCTTTGCATCTTCGGGGAATACATCGTCGAGTAATTTGATCCATTCGGGTTGTCGAGCTCGTAGATTAGCCTCTAAATATTCTCGGCCTGGTATGCTGAAGCCAGCTGAGCCCCAATCAACGATGGCCATAATCTTGCAGTTACCATCGACTAGGATGTTATCGAGGTGGAGGTCGCCATGAGAGAAAACCTTGGCGTCTTCAGTCAAAGCTGATATTTTGGCGATGATGCTATTTTCTGATTCCCCAAGTTGGCCTCTGGGACGAGAGTTGGTAAGAGCCTCGACTAGGCCTTGATTGTATTCGGCTCTTGACTTGAAGGGACCGTATTGCTTGTTGTCATGTGTTTTCAGACATAGGTGTGAGAAGAAGATGTCTGCGCTAGGTTGATTCCAAAGCGCGCCATAGGAGTCCCCGCGCATATCGCGAAGCTCTGTCACGTATCCTCGAAGCTGATCTGCAATGTATGCCTTCTTATCGTACGACAACGACGACCAAGTCTCCCCCAACTGCAGTCCTTCAACTTTGCACATATAGATGTACCCTATTCCGTTTTTTTCGTACGCTTCGTATACTTCAGGTACGGGAATGGAAGAACGGCTGGACACGAATCGCATAGCCTCAGCTTCGGCCATCCTTACACTTCTCCCAACTTTTAAGATCGCGCCTCTGCCCGGCAAATGGAAGATTCTCGGTCCGATTTTGCGGGGAAAGAGGTTGATAGCATCCAGAGGGATTTCCGCTTCATCTTGCGCTGATCCAGATGGAGGAGAAAGCGAGTCGGCCATTACTGCTCTGAATGAAGAAGAAGTGACGGGAATTTGGCGCCTTGGATCCGAAGCTCCACACTAAGAACGCTTAGACCACGTCACGCGGATCCTCGACACCTTCAACCGTGCAAGGCATCGCTGCTCTATTTTCGGCGACCCACCTCGTCATTCGTTGATTCAACTTTGCCGTTCGTCGATTGTCGTTTCTCTACATGAAGCCCATCCCATGTGCTTCCGCAGGCCGATCAAGGCTGTATGGAAGAACTCATGTATTATCTGAACCATCCGAGGATTAATGTGGACAAGAGATGTACTGCAGCCCCCAGGCGGCTTAGTTCCATTTTGGGGCCTTCTCGACCCCAAGACATAGCCGGCAGGACCACATGATGACGAAGCCAATAAGATTAAGACAATAGGAGTCCTGGGACAACTATCTTAGAATGCAGGGTGTACCAGCATTCAGTTCCTTGAGATCCCAACAGGTCAAGAACCAAACAACTAGTCACAACACCAGTATATTTGCTTATAACGTATCCCACAGGCAAGTTACTTACACACCTAAGTTACTTACTTTTACTAAGACTATACTAAACTAATTTTTTTACACTAATGCATTTCTAATAACGTACTTCACAGGCAAGTTACTTACACACCTAAGTTGCTTACTTTTGCTAAGACCCTACTACACTACTTTTTTTATACTAATATATTTCTAATAACACTACTTAAACATGTTAAAAAAATATTAGATGCAGCTTATGCTTTAAGCTTTTAAATAAAATATAATACTTTTTAAATAATACACTATAGCTATCTATAAAGTTTTTTAAAAAATAATAAGTAACTAATACACTAGATAACCTTTTTAAGCTAATTATATAGCTAACTTATAAAAGCTAGATAATAATAAAAAGTAAGTAATTATTTAGCACATACTTAAGCTAGATACATAAGGATTTCCCCTCTAGCTAGTAGCTATAGCTAATATAGCTAATTTTTTACACACTAAGCATAATATAAGCTATGTTAGTATAAACTAGCTTAATATATTTATTAAGTGTTACTTAAAGCTTAAAGTAAAGTTTAAGTGTAAGTATAACTATAAAAAAGGTTTTTATAAAAATTTTATAGTAATTTAAAGCTAGTTTAACTTTATAAAAAATATTAAAGCTAAGTATAGCATCTAAGATAATAACATGTACAACTTTAATAAAATAAAGTTTATAATAGGCTAAATATCTACTAAAGCAGTTATTATAAGTTTAAAGAGATAAAGACAGCTAAAGGTAGTCTAGCTAGGTAACTAAGAGTAGATAATAGCTATTTAAAGCATTAATGCTAAAAAGTAAGCTATTTTACTTTTTATTATTTTTTAGAGTAGCAACTACTTTTTAAACTAGTATAAAAAAAAATCTACTTTAAAATTAAGTTATTATAATTTTTAAGCGTAGCTAGACTACTAATTAGCTTAGTTTAAACTAGTTAAAGCACTTTAACGCGCATATAAAGAAGTATACTATTAGTAGCTACTATTTACTAGTTATTAATAGCTATAAAAGCTATAACTTACTTTATTTCTAATAATACTATAAAGATAATAAAATTATTACTATTTATATACTTTTTTACTTATTACACTTTTTATAGCTACTTAATGTAGGTTATTTTACTTTTTTAAAAAAAGTATATAAGTGCTAAGCTAAAAACTTTATATGTAACTAAATTACTTATATTATAAAAATAAAGTTTTTACTATGCTTTAAAGCAGCTTATAATGCTATAATTACTTTTAGTAATATCTAAAAAAAGTTTTAAAGTGCTAAATTAGTTTTTTTAACTTATAATAAGTTATAATAGGCCTTAATATAAAGTTATGCACTTTATTACTACTACTACTTATATATAATAAGCTCTAGTAGTTGTAAACTCTAAGTAATACTTTAAAACTTAAGTTATAATTAATACTTATAAAAATAAAAATTTAAAAGTATATAAATAGTTTACTAACTTTTATAGTTAAAGTGTTTAAAAAAGTTTTAAAAAAGGCAGTAATAATTATATATAAGCTAGTGTTAGCATAATAAAAAATTACTAAGCTTTAAGTAGCTAATAAGGCTACTATATAATATAAATTACATAAAAAAAAGTAAATTAAAGTAAAAAAGACTTTAATAATTTAAAAAAGCTTACACTTAATAGCTTTAAAGAAGTTTAAAGCGCGTAGTAATAAAAAAAAGGTAAAAAAGCAGGTGTAAGCTAAAGTAAGTAAGCTATCCTAAAGGCGCTGCAGATAGTGTAATTAGACTAGGCATAACACGCAAATGTGTAAGTAAGAAGTAAAAGTAGTATCTAAATAATATTTTAGGCTATACTATACTATATAGTGCTAGAGCGGGTTGTTATAGGCTATAATAGAGTTTGTTAGGGTAGGGTCTTAGCAAAAGTAAGCAACTTAGGTGTGTAAGCAACTCGCCTGTGAAGTACGTTAACACTAACATACACTACAGACAAGTTGCTTACACACTTAAGTTGTGTAACAATTCTTATAATTCATTCCATCTCAGGTCGCCTAGAACCTATCCGAAGGGTCTCCGTATCAGCTCCGACCCTGGCTCGACCCGGACTTAACCTAGCCCTAACTCTGCCTAGCCTTCTACTGTTACCTCTATTCCCTTATGTATTTAGTTGCACCTTGCCCCTGTAGCTAGCTTAGTAGTTTTCTAATATCCTTTTATACAAGGCCTATAGGTGTTAATAGCATTCCTAGGTTCTAAGTCCCTACACACTTCTATATGCCTCTAAGTAGATTTCTACTGCATTTAGACCTATTATCTTGCCTGTGCTGTTACATTATATTAGAAAACTTACTTTTGCTAGTAATAGCCTTATTATAATATTACACTAATTATTTGTTTAACTATGTTTAAGCTCTAAGATGCGTTTAATTTAGTTTAGGTTATAATACTTACACACTGTTATATTAAACTATTTAGTCTATAAACTAGATCTTATTAACCTCTAGTTAACTAAAGCTTTTAGGTTTAGAACTTCTTATCCCCTATAATTAGAATTGCCTTTAGAAAAGTTATAAAAAATGCGCTAAAGTAGAAACTTAGAGACTACTAATAACTTATTAGGATTAGAGATAACTGCTAATGCCTAACTTTTAACTACTAACTTCTAACTACTAAATCACCCCTAATAATGCCTTAAATTACCTCTACTACTTTAATAGTAAGAGACCTTTAAGGCACCTCTAATAACGCTTAAATGCTACTACACTAAACGCACGCCTAAGATTAATAACTACATAGATAGTAATAAATAAAGGTCTTAATTATTAATAGGCTAGACATTTATACAGATTACTATTAAAACAGGCGCGTATAGCGTTTAGTGTAGAGGACACTGCTAGCAGTGTAAAGGAATACTTAGTAAGAACACCTAGCTAAATTAGACTAGTTTTAGTTTAAAGATGTAGAGAACATAACAGTAATACCTTATACTATAACTACTACTAATAGAGACTATTAGTCTATAGAGGGGGGGTAGTGTAACAATTCTTATAATTTGTTCTATCTTAGGTTGCCTAGAACCTATCTAAAGGGTCTCTGTATTAGCTCTAACCCTAGCTTAACCCTAACTTAACCTAGCCCTAACTCTGCCTAGCCCTCTGCTGTTACCTCTATTCTCTTATGTATTTAGTTGCACCTTGCCTCTGTAGCTAGCTTAGTAGTTTTCTAATATTCTTTTGTACAAGGCCTATAGGTGTTAATAGCATTCCTAGGTTCTAAGTCCCCACGCACTTCTATATGCCTCTAAGTGGATTCCTACCGCATTTAGACCTATTGTCTTGCCTGTGCTGTTACAGGTTGCTTGCTTTTACTAAGACCCTACTAAACTACTCTTTCTACACTAACATACACTACAGACGAGTTAGTTACACACCTAAGTTACTTACTTTTACTAAGACTCTACTAAACTACTTTTTTTACACTAATTTATTTCTAATAACACTACTTAAATATACTAAAAGAATATTAGATATAGCTTATACTTTAGGCTTTTAAATAAAATAAAACACTTTTAAAGCAATAGTTAAGCTTTTATAAACTTACTTTATTACTAGTAATAAAGAAATAAAGGCGCAACAGGTGTTTTAGACTTTAAAAATAAGTATAAAAAAAAGTGTTTTTTGCTTTTAAAGCTTACTTTATTAGTGCTGCTGTTAAAAGGTTTATATTAAAGTTAAAATAGTTTTTCTACTTATAAGAAAAGATACTGCTTAGCCTAAAAGTACTAAACTTAGGTTTTAAACACACTTAAAAGAGCTTTTTTAAGTTAATAGTAGTCTACCTAATAGCCTATAATATAAAAAGAAAGAACACTTTTACTATTTTAAAGTAAACTGTTAACTACACTTAACACTCTAATATTAGACCTTTTATAGATTAATATTAAAAGGTTTCTAGTAATACATCTAAGGCAGTATACTATTCTAGTGCACTCTAACCTGCACCTATGTTAGTACCCTAATCTACCCTAGCTACCCACTGTTAACCTAGCTAGACACCTGCCTTTAAAAGACAGACAACTTCTAGTAACTGTTATAATTATAGTAAACTAAAACATTTTACTAGCAATTATCCTATCCCTAAAGTATAAAAAATTAAGGTAGAGTAATAGAAATCTAAGAAAAAGTTTATAGATGTAGATAATTATAACTTAAATTTTTTTTAAATAAAAAATAAAAACACTTAAGAAAACTTTTTATCTTAGGCTTAAATAAGTATAACCTAGCAAATATTAACCTATTGCACTTATTTAAAGAAAAACATTTTTAAGTTTTTACTATTTTATACTTAAAAAGCATTAAAGTTTAATTAAATTTTTTAGTTAATACTAGTGTATATAGTTTTCTATTTATTAACTTAACAACTGCTAAGTTTTTATTTTAATGCCTTTATATTTTTATCTAACATTTACTTTTTAAAGTTATAGTTAAGAGCTTTTAAGACTAAATCTAAGTTCCTGTCTACTAGTATATCTGCCTGCATATGTAAATTAATAGTAGAAGCATCTAAAACTACCTCTTTATAATTATAAACCTTAGCTTATAAGACTATATTATTAGCATTAAATAGTTATATTATTTTAAACTTTAACTAGATATAAAGAAAAATTAGATTATATAGCCTAGTAAGTATCTTACACTTATAAACTTTTACTGCTATTGCTTATGCAATTAAACTAGCCTACACATAATAAAGAAGTAGAGTTAGATATTAGACAACACAACGCACTATAGGAAAAGGACTACATTTAGTAGTTATTTAGCCTAATAATTAACTGCATTAAAGGTTTACTA